GGCTGAGTTCTTTATCTCTTCATTTGATGTTTTAGGGTTTCAGGATTGTTGTATTCTCTGTTTGGATTAGTTTTTCGGATCTTTGCTGTGGAGGGACGGCGTGGTGCTTCTGCCTAGAGCGCCATTTTGCCAGAATCCAGTCGCAAGGAGTTCTTTCAATGCTGTAAAGAGCCGCCCCAATGTCAGCCATCATGAATGATGGCAATGACCATTATGTCAAGGTCAAGGGTTGAGGCAGTGGGAGGGTACAGGAACAAATAAGTCAGTGTGTACAGGTGAAGGTGAGCAGTGTAGCACAGAGGACAGGAGACTTGCCTTTGAGGGCACAGTATGGGGCAGCAGCCAGAGGCAGGTCCCTAGAGACTGGGCCTGGATTCTTAGTGGACTCATCTCCCATGACTTGGGCCAGTCTAAAAACTGTCTCCAGGAGCCCTGGGAAGCAAGGCCATGGGAATCTCTTCCTAACCACATAAAAGCAGACCAGCCAGTGTCCCTGCAGCAACCCATCTGATGGCAGCAACATTGTGAGATCTCTCACCGATGCTGCTGCTAATTAAAGGTCTCCCTCCTGAGCCCCTGCAATCCTAGCGCCCACCACTCCCTGGGGAAGGGCAATTGAGGCTGTGATGAACCTCCCAGCCAAGATCTTTCTACGGGTAATTTGGCCAGGCTAATTACCCCATGAACAGTAGATAATTAGATAAGACTCAATTTACATGAGCAAGTCTTGCAAGCCCAGCACTTTGGGGGTTTTCAAGCTATTTACCTGGTGTCTTGTATTTTGCTGGGGGAAAATAATTTCTTGCTCCCAGGCAAACTGAACCCACAAATTAGGGCTGTGGCTCTCTCCTGAGCCTTATAAAGTGGGAGCCTGAGATTGCAGGGTGGCGAACTGCATCTCAGTTAAGGGTTAGCATCTTATTCCAGCTCTCTGACCATCCCAACATGAGCCGCCAATTTACCTGCAAGTCCGGAACTGCCACCAAGGGGGGCTTCAGTGGCTGCTCGGCCGTGCTCTCTGGGGGCAGCTTGTCCTCCTGCCGGGCAGGGGGCAAAGGGCTTAGTGGGGGCTTCGGCAGTCAGAGCCTCTACAGCCTGGGGGGCGGCCGGAGCATCTCCCTCAATGTGGTCGGTGGCAGTGGTCTTACAGGGGGCTATGGATTTGGCCGGGGCTGGGTCAGCGGCTTTGCGGGCAGCATGTTTGGCAGTGTGGCCCTGGGGCCTGTGTGCCAGAACGTGTACCCTCCAAGGGGCATCCATCAGGTCACAGTCAACAAGAGCCTTTTGGCCCCCCTCAACATGGAGCTGGACCCTGAGATCCAGAAAGTGCGCTCTCAGGAGCGGGAGCAGATCAAGGCACTGAACAACAAATTTGCCTCCTTCATTGACAAGGTAGGGCTTTCTGGAGCAAAGCTGGGCATAGAGCCCCTTCCCTTCTACCACCTTCCTCCTCTCTGAAGCAGAAGAAGGCAGTACAGCTTCCCAGGATACAGACACAGCCAAGGACAGAGCAAGGAGGAGCTGGACAAAGCCCTGGACCCCAGTGCTGAGAGATAGGAAACTAGAGGGGAGAGGAGCTAGAGAGCTTAGTCTGGGAAGGTTTCTAGGAGGCAGGGAAAGTGGCCTAGAGTTGAGAAGTAGGACAGTGACCACAAGCAAAACTTACATGCCAGCAAAGGAGAAGCCTGGAATGTCTAGAAAGGCATGGGACCCAGCCCCTGCCCTAGGAAACTCAGACCCCAATCAGGAGACAGACTCATAAACTACGATGCATCCAACCTAGGAGGCAAGGCAGATGGTGACCAGTTCCGTGCTCAAGTTTGAGGACCACTGAGGAATAAAGTGACAGGAGGGTTTTGGGAAGTGGAGACGTCCTGAGGTTAGGGGAGCAGAGAAAGCTTACCAGGTGACAGGTGGGTTAGGTGGTGAAGCATGAGTAGGAGTTTGCCAGACAGAGATGGGGAAAAGAAAATGCAGGGAGAAGAAGCATGCATTATGCAATCATGCAGCATTATTGGACTTTTCCGGAGGATGGTGAGACCTTGGGGGTTGCTTGAGTGTTGGGTGAATGGTGGAGGAGGAGAGGCTGGGCACATTGTGAAGAGTACAGTAAGGAGTTTGGACTTGATCTTAGAGATGGTGAGTCACCAGAAGGTTTTAAGCAAGGGAATGATATGATACTTGTAGAATGCAACTTAAGAATTTTTGTTCTCTCTAGGGAAATGTTCTGATTAGATCAGATTGATTCAGACATGAAAGCAACATAGGAGGGCTTGAGACCACAGAATACCTGAGCACTTGCCCTCCGGCTAGGCTGGGAGAGGCCATGACCAAGGGGACAGAGTTGGTAGAGCACAGGCTATGTGGTCAGACCCAAGTAGAGGGGTCCAAGAGTATGAAGGGCAAGCAGTACAGGCCAGCTTCACATGTCTAAGGACTTGCCTTAGAAAGCAGCCCAGGCTGAATATAGAAATTGGCCAAGGAAAGCTTCTGTAAGTGCGGAGGTGGCAGGTCTTGGCTAGATTTGGAGGGAAATGAATATGTTAAGGACCCTCCTGACCTTAGGTGCTGCCCCAGAAAGAAAACTGGAGTTAGAGCTCCAGGTAAAAAGGGCCCAGGTCAGGAGAGGTACGAGTGGTTGACTCTTTCTAAGGACTGAGGCTTACCTATTCAAACTAGCGGAGCATAAGAAAATGCAGCTGCTTTCCAGAAAAGGAAACCTCACAGCCTCTCTCCCCATTTACTGGGAGTGTGTGGAGTTGGTTCCAGACATCTGTTGTTTTGGGTTCCAGGTGCGGTTCCTGGAGCAGCAGAACCAGGTGCTGGAAACCAAGTGGGAGCTGCTGCAGCAGCTGGACCTGAACAACTGCAAGAATAAGCTGGAGCCCATCCTGGAGGGCTACATTGGCAACCTGCAGAAGCAGCTGGAGACACTGTCTGGAGACAGGATGAGGCTGGACTCAGAGCTGAGGAACATGCGGGATGTGGTGGAGGACTACAAGAAGAGGTGAGCAGGGAGAGGGGCCCAGGAAGACCTGCCTCCTGGTGCTGTGCTTTCCCAGGAAATACTGTGGCATTTTGCCTCTGGCCTCAAGGGGACTGAGGTCAGGTGGGAGCGACCCATTCTGAGCTCCTCTGCCCAGGAAAGATGAGTGCCTTCTCTAGGAGGCTGGTGGGTCACGCAGTGGACAGGCAGCCTCTCGAGCAGTGGCAGTGCTGTCCTGGCAGGTATCCCCCTCCTCGGCACACGCCCTCCCGTTTCCCATTCAGGAGAGCCAGAAAGTGTGTATCCCAGTCTTTCGATTCCTCAGCTTGTTCAGTTGCCCCCGAGTTCCAAGGAAACCCTCCCAGCAGGGCAGAATGTTTGAATTTCTGTTGGACATTTGGGTCTTGTTCCTTTTTCCTGCCTGGGGGGACAGTTCTGGCTCCTTGGGATTCATGCCTAGGGATGGAGTGGAGTTGTTGGTAAGGGGTGTCAGGCAGTGGCATGACACACAAATCATGGCTGAAAGGGGCAGCAGGCAAGTCCCTGTGATTTGGACACTGAGTGAGAGGAGGAAGAACCTACTTACTCCCCAGATATCAGAAGTAATCCAGATCCCAAACCATTTGGTCACCTTTCCACTCCTCTAACCAAGAGGACAGACTTGCAAAGATGTTGAATAATACATGCAAAGTGTAAAAGATATATAATATGGGCCTCTCCTTTCTCATTTCACAATGAGAACACACACACATGTCCTGCTCACTTGCGCCACTTTTCCTGCAGGTATGAGGATGAAATAAACAAGCGCGCAACGGCTGAGAATGAATTCGTGGTGCTCAAGAAGGTGAGGAGAGTGGGGCACATCCCTCAGCCACCTGGGAGTGTCAGTGTGGAGGGCAGGGAGAGGTGGTATCAGAGAGGAGAGACTGAGGTCTGTGATTCCTACAGAAGGGTCTGGAGCTGAAGTGATGGGAGGAGAAGATGGAAGGATTTGTTGCTGGGGATATCTTGGGACACCTTGACTTTTATCTGGCATCTATCACTTTGTCAGCCCCCTAGTTTTTGTGTGGATGGAGATGAGCCCAGGTGTGGATAGTCAATTCCCAGGCCGGACTTAGGGAGTAGGACATGGTTTGGGAGGGGCTGCAAGTTCACCTTCCAACTCTGCTGCCCCTCGCGTATCACTGTGGCTGCCCTCCATTCACTCTGACTGCTCAGTGACCATGAGGAGTAGGGCTCCCATACTCTCTCTTGGAGAAATAGAAGGCAGTAAAAAGATTCTGGTTTTGGATGGGGCAGAAGGCAGTCCAGGGGCATGAGTGACTGGCCCAAGTTCTCTCAGTGAGTGCTGGGCAAAAGTCAGGTTCCTGCCCACTAAGTTTCAACTCTATTCCCTGGGACAACTAGCCACAGGTTTGGGGACTGGAGTGTAAGTTGGTTGGAAAGGGCTGTCTGAATTTGAATCAAGGCAATACCTGAGGATCTTGGGATTCTCCACAGGATGTAGATGCTGCTTACATGAACAAGGTGGAGCTGCAGGCCAAGGTGGATGCCCTGGATGGAGAAATCGAGTTCTTCAAGTGCCTGTATGAGGCGGTAAGGTTCCCTGTCCCCACCTTCAGTTTGTCTTCTGGAAGAACACGCATGTGAATGAGTGGGTTACTTGCTCATCAATAACTTTGAGAGCCCAGGAGATCTCCAGCATTAGGATGCCAGGTGCTTTGTAGATCAAAGAGGAAGTATAAATCTATACCAGGGCCCCAAAATGATATGTCCATCAGTCTTGCCTGGCCTCCAATGTCTTGCTCTCACATTCTTCATGAAGCCATGGATCCTTAAGGGAGTCTCATTGATGGTCAGCCAAGCATATTCTTATTCTTGCCTGTCTCCTCTCTGCTGCTTGGGATGTTTCCTGGGTTCTTGGGCAGGAATCCCCAGGGGTGGAGATGAGGAATTCACAGATCCTTTCTATCTCCTCAATACCCATCTGGCTTCAAGCCTCAACCAGTTGACCAAGCATCCATGGGCTTTTGTGTCCCTTGCGGGTTGTCCAGGCTGTTTCCTCTCTACCTTCTCCACCTGTGACCTATCGCAGGTCACAGACAGATAGGCTGTTTTCTTCTTGTGCTGCTTCAAACCCAATCAGCAATTTTTAGATGTGATATTGAAGCCTCTGGGCTGGTGAGCACCATTTTTACAAACTTAGGGGAATGTAGCTTGTGTGTGTTTGGGATGGTTTGGGGGCAATCCTGCCAGACAGGGCTATCAGCTTGGCATCTTCCTCTGGCCACAAATGACAATTCATGCTTCCTTGTTTTTCCCCTGCAGGAGATTGCTCAGATCCAGTCCCACATCAGTGACACGTCTGTCATCCTGTCCATAGACAACAACCGCAACTTGGACCTGGACAGCATCATTGCCAAGGTTCGCATACAGTATGAGGAGATCGCCCTGAAGAGCAAGGCTGAGGCCGAGACCCTGTACCAGACCAAGGTGAGGCTGTACCCACCCCAGAGTCATCCTCAGGTCTAGTCCTTGTTTTGTTTGACTTCTCTGTGGCCCACCGAGGCCCACATTTGCTATGAGCACAATACTGTCCTGGGCACTGTGGGAAGCCCAGTTCTAATGGCAGCCATTGGAGAACACACATAGCCAAGCACAGTGAATGTAGTGGGAACAGAGTCTAGGAAGGAAGAGAGAAGTAAGGGAACCAGGACAAGGTGGGGCAGCTCAGGAACAACTTCCTGGAGGCAGAGAGTTGTACACTGAGTCTAGAAGGGAAGGAAACTGAGTAGTTAGCATCTCAACTCCTTCATTAATTATAGTAAATCAGGGAGTCTTTTCCAGTGTGATCTGGGATCAGGTAACTCATACCTTTTCATTCAAGTCCAACTCCATGGATGAAGGGAAAGTTTGAGTCATTTAGATCTTAACTCCTCTAATGGGTTGTGGGTGAGAAATGATTCTTCAGATAACTTGGTTTCTCAGATCAAGAAGGCACTTTCCTAATTTTCCCTTGCTGTTTAGCAGGTTCTTTCTCAAGGGAAAGCCATCCTCTTGAGAGACCTTACCTTGTCTCTCCTCCTGCCTCCTTGCTACCCTAGGGACAGAGAGATTTGGCCTTCAGGAGTGAGAGCGTGGGAAGCTTTCAAGGCCAAGGAGACAACACAGGCAGGACTTCTTGATAAATGTTCAAACTCCAGTCCCCAGTCCCTCCTTATTTCTTGTACAAAACAGTTTTGGGGGATGACCATGTGGACTAAGCACTTTGGAGTTGTTTGTGGCCAGGGCTTAACCCCAGGCTGTTCCCCTTCTGGAAGAATTAAGCAGGTTTACGCAGACCTGATTTTTGGACCATTTGCTGGTTGGGATTATCCACACCTCCACTTCTCCAGTTAGGGGATAAATGCTTATTGAGCAGAATTTCATTCATAACAATAATATTATGAGGGCTTATGGTGCAGTGGTCAAGGGCTCAACTGCTAACCAAAAGGTTAGCAGTTTGAATTCACCAGCCGCTCTCTGGAAACCCTATGGGGCAGCTCTACTCTGTCTTACAGGGTCACTATGAGTCAGAATCAATTTGACAGCACTGGGTTTTTTTTTTTTGTTGTTGTTTGTTATTATTATTCCCATTTTAAAGATGAAGAAACTGAGGCTTAGGGAGTTTAAGGAACTTGTCAAAGGCAGTTAGCTGGTAAGTGATGGAGCTGCATCTGAATCTAGGTGACTGACTGCAAATTACATGGTGTTTAGACAGAAAATCAGGAGATGACTTTGGTTAAGGAACGTTTATGATAAGGGCATTACATGGGATGAGAGTTGAATGGCAGGAAGACGCTCACCTGTTCACCTCAGAAGGAGACTGCTTGGTGTAAGTATTAGAGGAGGAGTTAGTACCTCCTTCCTGGTCAATGTGTGGGAAAGGTCATCCTGCTCACATAGCCTTGTAGAGAAGTGGGAAATGGCTATCTCCACCCAGGGTTTCCTGTCCCAAGGTTAGCACCAAAGATAAAACCCAAGGAGGATAGAGAGAAGCCCCCAGAGGACTTGGCATCTCTATGAGGAATCATGAATCTAGGCCACGCTGGGGCCAGCTAAGAAACAATCAACAAAGCTGAGCACTCAGGGACAGAGACCAAGCAGTGCACAGCCACCAAGTTCTGAATGTCATACATATTTTGTGTTTCCCTTAAGCCAAATTCTGGGATAGAATTGAAGTCCTGTCTATTAACTACCTAATAGATAACATCAAAGGCAGAAATAATGCAAAACTAGTAGACGACCCAAAATTCATGGCTAGTAGTGTTGGGGTATAGTCAAATCTCCTACTCCCCACAAACACACACACATAAAGCCTCTCCATACTAAGCCCTCTTTCTCCCTCCCAGCCCAGCAAGACTGCCAGTAACCTGGGGCCCAGCTTAGCTTTGGAGGGGGGAAGTCACAGAAAGTACAGACGGGCAGCTCACTGACTCTGTGCATTCATCAGACCTTTTCTGAGCACCAGCCAGGCAGTATGGTAGCACTGAGAATTCAGAAATAAAAAGAATAGTCCCTGCCATCCAGTCTGATAGGAAAGACATAGAAACATGTGATCACAGTACAGTGTGGTAAGACCTATTGAGTGGTGTTCCAGGGGCTATAGGGACAGAAGGATAACCAACACGGAAGTCCTCCTGGAGGAAGTAACTCTGCACTGGATGAGTTTGAGCTAGCTAAAGAAAGAGAAAGGAGATGGAGAAGAGTTTTCCAGGTTGGGGGAGAAGCTCATGCAAAGACTCAGAGACATGAGAGCACATAGGACACTTATGAAAATGTGAGACAGTTTGGCACACCTAGAGAGCTAGGTAGAGATGCACAGGGGTGGTGGGAAATGAGGATGGAAAGGCTAGTGGACACTAGACCTCAAAGCACCTTGATATCATGCTCAGGAGTTTGAACTTGACCTTGAAGACATTGGTGAGCTTTGAAGGGCTATAGGCAGAAGAATGTCATACTAATTGGAGTTGTAGTGTAGAGAGCTCTGGGTGGGACTTCAACAGTCCTTATGACAAAATCCAACCATCAGTGAGATCAGCTGTGCTTAAGGCAAACAAATTCAACTAACAGATGGTTGAGTGACAGGCTATTGACACCTGGTGAAGGAGGGGACCCCTAACCACTTCCACCCCATTCCTAAAGCGAAGGCACAGTCTCTGTGCCAGGCTTAGCTCAGCCAGGCCCTAAGTCAATGTTCCTGCTTTGGCCCCTCTGTCCTAGTTCCAGGAGCTCCAGCTGGCTGCCGGGCGGCATGGGGATGACCTCAAACACACCAGGAACAAGATCTCAGAGATGACCTGTCTCATCCAAAGACTGCGTTCGGAGATCGAGAGCATGAAGAAGCAGGTGACGGGGGCAGGGGCTCCTGACTCATCCCCAAGGGAAGGGTGAAATGTCTAACACACTCCTTTCTGCCTTTTCTCCTACTCTTGGTCTTCTATCTCAGAACCCCTCTTTCAAATGGAGGCCCTGTTATCGTCCGCCATACTTAGCTCCTATCCGAAGCCTGAAACAAATGGAAGCCATGGGACTCAGAAAAACAAGCCCACAGTCTCACCCCATGGCCATAGATGTGGCTGTGTCTCTGCTCTAGGAAGTGGAGCAGGACACAGGAGGGTCTGTCCACAATGAACCCACTGGGGAGGGAGGTGAAGTGAGGCTTGAAGTGCCTTAGGACTCAGGGGCAATGCTATCTTGTGACTCTCAGTGCTCCAACCTGGAGACAGCTATTGCCGATGCCGAGCAGCGGGGGGATTGTGCCCTGAAGGATGCCCGGGCCAAGCTGGACGAGCTACAGGCTGCCCTGCACCAGGCCAAGGAAGAGCTAGCCCGGATGCTGCGCGAGTACCAGGAGCTGATGAGTGTGAAGCTGGCCCTGGACATCGAGATTGCCACTTACCGCAAGCTGCTGGAGGGCGAGGAGTGCAGGTGGGTGTTGGAGGGGTCTTACGGCCATATAGCTGGAAGAAACTTTGGAATTGTCCAATTCAGAGTTTTGCAGAGTGTGGGGGCAGGCCGCCAGAGGGGCTGGAGGTGCTCTTTAGGTCACCTACAAACTTAGCCATAAACAGAATCCAATCAGGTAGGGAGACAGCGATTTCCTTCTCAGTTCTCCAACCCTTCAGATTATGCCAAGGAGAAAGTCTCAGCTTAGTGCTGTTGTATCTCTAACACCTCTCTGCCACTTGCAAATCTCTCCTTTTAATCAAGAGAGAGTAGATCTATCTCAGGTTTAGAGTCTGTGGGCAGACAACCCTATCTAGCCAAAGATTTTTAAAATTTTGTCTTGCTTTGCTTATATTTATATTTACAGCTACCTTTGTTGGGAAGGTACTACTGGTTTTCCGTTTACTCTAGTGACGTAAAATCTCCTTTTAAGATAAATGCATTTTTTATTATAAAAAGCAGTCAATTAAAAATGCTCAATACTGTACATGGTCATAGCAACCATTGGGAAGGTGGTACATGAAGCATTGACATTTGAGAAATGCTGTTCTAACCTAGTGCCATTTTATAACAGTGACCTACGGAGGAGAAGTTAACGGTCCTAAAACCATTTATTAGTTCACTAGTGGCAACTCCTGATCCTAATATTTCCATACATGTATTTATTCAGGCAGAAGCCACACAAGAATAAAGAAGTGGGTTCAAGAAAAACCCAGCAGGAGGGGTCCTGGGAGTGGTGGTGGTGTTGTGAACTCCAAGGTTGTGAGCTTACACATCTCCAAAGCGGGAAGGGTAGATTGAGGAGGGAGAGGGAGGTGATTAGAAATAACAACAACAACAAAAAAAAAAACCAAACCCGTTGCCTTCGAGTAGATTCTGACTCATAACAACTCTGTAGGACAGAGTAGAACTGCCCCATAGGGTTTCCAAGGCTGTAATCTTTATGTAAGCAGACTACCACATCTTTCTACCGAGAAGTGGCTGGTGGGTTCGAACTGCTGACCTTTTGGTTAGCGACTGAGCATTTAACTACTGTGCCACCAGGTCTCCTTTTGATTAGAGATAGATAGGTGAAATTAATGCCATCTGGCCAGCTGGAGGGACTCATGGAGGCTGAGCTAGTCTGGCTGATGGGCCAGTGTTCAGGCTGTGGTGAAGCTAACTCTGGGATTCCATGTGACGGAGATTCCCCCGTGCTTTTCTCTCTGTGCAGGATGTCTGGAGAGTACACCAACCCTGTGAGCATTTGTGAGTATTTAATGCCTTTGAGGGAATATTTCTAGGCCATAAACAAACACAAAGTGAGTGGGTGTCTACCACTGGGACCCCCGTGGAACAGCCTGGGCTCTGCCTGGTAGACCACCATTGTCATATACTTGTCTCCCTGGCTGAGCCCTGCTGCCTCCCCATTCACAGCTGCTTCTTACTCAGCAGAGTCAGCGCCCCATCACATTCTGACATTTCGCATTGGCCCCTTCTCCAGAGATCTCACCCCTGCTAGGATGAAACTCTCAGCCCCATGCCTCCTCTAGTGCCCCCAGCCTAGGCTTTCCTGCATGAAGGGAAACCCTGAGCTTGAAGAGTAGCACTTCTTCACTGAGAGTAGAGACCTCTGTGCAGATACTGTCGTTGATGGGGTAGATAGACACTTGACAATCAGTTTTAATGACCCCCACGGGGTCCAGCCTGATCTTCCTCTGAGAGATGAACTATCAAGGAATAAAGACATTCTTTGAAAAGAATTAAGAACGTATTCTAAACTTAAATGCAAGAACTTGTTGCCTTATCTGATGCTTGGGCCTCAGCTGCTCTTTCGGAGGAAGTATCTATCACCCCTGCTACTCCTGTTTGTTCAACAAATGAGAAGGTACCTGACTTGGGGGTTCTATGGGATCTGGGATATTTTCTCCTGCGCTTGAGGTGCTCAGGAATTGAGCGTGTGCTACTAAAGTCAAGTTCATGGTTGGTGTGACATGTTTGCTTAAGGGATGACATTCAAGCCAGTTGGGGCTGGAAGGTTGGGGCATCCCCTATCCTGGGACACAGACTGATTATTCCTCCTTCCATCCTCCACAGCGGTCATTAGCAGCTCCACAGCCGGGACCTCAAGCACAGGGGCCAGCTTTGGGTTCAGTGGTGCTGGCATCTATGGCTACCGACACAGCTCTGTAGGTGGTGGCTACGGCATGCTGTCTGGGGGCTGTGTCACTGGCAGTGGGAACTGCAGCCCCTGTGGGGAAGCCAGGACCAGGCTGGGAAGTGCAAGTGAATTCAAGGATCCCCTGGGAAAGACATCAGCTCTCAGCTCACTCACAAAGAAAACCATGAGATAAAGTGAAAGACAGCACATTTTCAAGCTGTCCACCTTGCCTGGGTTTCCTCTGACTTCCTTCTCCAGGAAATTTCTCAGGCATGTTTATCTTGCTTTTCTTTGCCACCAACACTGTCTCTTCTTTGACCTGTCTCTGTCTTTCTTAATGTAGAATCAGGATTCTAGGGCTGGAGTCATCTTGCCCATTCTTCTGCCTCAATACAAAGAGACCCCTTAACTCAGTCTCCCCTTCTGGAAACATTGCCAAAGATAAAGACTTGACCCCTTCTCTGACCTGCATGCCCCCTTGCAGAGGAAAGGTGCCTCTCTCAAGGGTAACCCAATCTTCCTGCTGCCTCTGCTGTGCCCTGGCTTAGGTGGTAACTTGGCCAGGTGCTCCACGTGTACATGAAGTTTCAGATCCACTGATAGATCTGTGAGAGCTGTCTCCAGCCCGGATTTCCTGTTAGAGAAACACCAGCTCAGAGGAAATACCTGGTTATAGGTTGTATCTTACATGGTCATTGCAGACTAGATAGCCAGGAGTGCCCCTTAAGTCTGGTCCAACAAACGAAGGAATGTTCGCTCTAAAATACATGAGTTCTTGCCCTTGTTCAATCTTTACCTCCCTGCTTCCTGCATATCACCAATAAACTTGTAAGATTCATGAAGTCCAGGCTGCTTCTCTCTCCTAAGGGAATCCTAATCTCAGGCCACATCTCTTCTACACATGGAGTGGCCAGTGACCTGGAACCTGGGGCATCCAAAGTCTGGTTTTCTTCCAGAGAGCCCCAAAGTATCTGTTGATCTGAGTGGAAGAGATTGATGGGAGGAACATTTGCACAAGCTGGAGGATCCTACCATCACCTGCTCTGGGATTTGTAATACATGGGGTTCATCTATAACCCCCACCCACAGCAGTGTACCTTCTAAGTCATGCTTTTCTCAGGCCAGTAGTCCATGAATGGACAACCTTTAAGAACATTCAGGTTATCAGCAAAAGAAGGAGCCAACACTTGTCTGGTGTGTCTTGCCACTTATCTGGTGGCAAGATTTAAAACTGGCCAACAGGCAGCAGATGACCACTTCCAGAGAGCCTATGGCTTCAGTTATGGCTATTCCCTGCTCCTTGGAAAAATCCCAAAGGTAGATTTCTCTTTAAAGTAATGATCTATTATTTTGGTCCTTAGTGAAGTTTCCACTAGGTTGAGTATGTACATATATATGTATGAGTTTTTGTATGTATGTGTGTGTGTGTGTTTAAGTATGGGACCATCTCCATTACACATACCACTCAGCTTCCAAAATGACCTTGTGCTCAGAGATTTCTCATAGGTCCCCAGCCCATGATGATACTGATAGGATGCAACAGGATGCAAAAAAGCAAGTAAGAGGATCACACACATTGAGGCTGGAGTTCACAAGTTGCATCTGAACAGTGTCCCTGTGGGTCCAGAGAGAGTCCTAAACTTCAGGTTAATAGACTTGGATTCAGATTCAGGCTCTGCAACTAACTGGTGATCATGGACAAAGTTCTCAACTTCTTTGAGTGTCATTTTCTTTATCTGTAAAATAGGCAGAATAATACCCCTAAATCATTCTTAGGCTAAAATGAGACAACATGAGGATGTATTACGCAATCCCAGCACAAAGTTCATGCTTAATAAATGTTAGTGGCAACAGAATCTAGTCCTCAGTCTTATTGATTCAAAACTGACTTAATTAGCTTACTGAAAGTGTTGTTTAGATGTGGTTAAAGCAATTAGCAGGCGCCCTGGTAGTGCAGTGGTTAAACTGTCAGTTGCTAACTGAAAGGTTGATGGTTCGAACCCACTAGCCACTCTGTGGTAGAAAGATGTGACAATCTGCTTCCGTAAAGATTAGTCTTGGAAAGCCTACAGGGCAGTTCTCCTCTGTCCTACAGTCTTGCTATGAGTCAGAATTAACCTGACGGCAATGGATTTAAAGCAATTAGCAAAATCCAAACTTTAAACAGATTGCCTTATAAACTATAACAACAATTTACTTATTACCAAATGGAGAACTGGCTGGCAGAATAACTAATCTCAGGGAATATACTCTTGGTGGGGGTGCCAGTGAAGAAATTGTGATCAGTTCAACAAATATTTAAGTATCTTTTATGTGCCTGGCATGTGTTAGTGCTGGAGATACAGTGATGAATACACTGGGTCCATATCCCTAAACTTTTCAAGATCCAACTATTTTCTCCTTTGAATTTTTTGCGGATACTACGTGTTTTCACTAATGAAGGCATGCTGATTAAAGGAGGAATTCAGAATTTTTATGAGTTATGGATTTTGATACTCATTATTTGGGATCATATATGTCCCAGCAGCCTCTAGATGACATAAATCCTGCCAATATGAGTCAATGAAGAAATCCTTAAAAAACAAATTTAAAAAAAAAATTCATTTCTTGAAAATTTGCAAAACATGAGGTAAAACATGAAGGCAGCTGGCAATGACTGCACATACATTTTATTCTAGTCTCCTTCTTCTTAGCCTTTTTATTATTTTTCATGAAACTTTTCAAAACATAGTACAATGCATTCTTCCTTACTTCAAAAACAGTGCTTGTAGCCCAAATAAATAAAGCCAAGGGATTTTTTTTTTTTTTAAATCTCAGGAAAACTACCACTACAATGCATTCTTTGTTATAACAAAAGCAGTACTAACAGCTAAGAAGCAGAAAAAGCTGCCCTCTAATACTGCAGAACTGCTCACAGCAGTGCATTCTACCTGCTACACGTGGAAGCAATGATTGGGCCCTAAGATTGAATGCAGGGTAAGAATAACTTATAGGAGTTCTAATCTCTTGAAAAGTACCACTACAATGCACTATTCTTTATTGGAAAGACATTATTTACTGCTCAAAAACTAGAAAAGAAAGGAGCCGGTAACACCTAGAAGCAATGAAAGGCATAAAGGAGAAAATGACCACTATGACTGAATGAAGACTGACAATAGCTTATTCTCACCAGAAGTACATTTTCACAAGAACATAGTAAAGGGTAAAAGTGAGGAGGCTTATCTCACAGAAATAAAGTCAAGCCTGTCAAAACTTGTCAAAATTTTGGAAAATTCACATCCAGGAGGCATCACCTAAGACAACGCTTAATCTACACAAAAATGAGACTCCCACTCAGGGTTTTTCTAGTTTCATGCATTTCAAAAGGTTCCCACCTAGAGGCTAAATGCATTAAAATTGGGCTACCCCCTTTCCAAAGAACTCCAGAGGCAAAAAAGTGGGTTGGATACTATATGTCCCATAGATCTTGAAAGAGTTTAATGGAGACATAGCTATAAAAGACATAACTGCAATATGGCGCGGTATTGACAACAAAAGAAGTGTACACAAGATACTGAGGTAGTACAAATGAGAGTGAAGAATTTCAGGGAGCCGTACATGCAGAGTTTCAAAGGATGGATAGGAGTTTACTACATGGATGAGAAGAGGGACTAGGCATTGTAGATCAAGGGACTAGAATGGTAAAAATGGGTAGTTTTTGCTGGAGCATGAAGTGTAAGGCTGAAGTAAGTTCAGCAGGTAGAGAGGGAGGCTGAAGTGGTATCTGAAACTGGGAAAGCAGGCAGTGGCCAGATCAGAGAGGCCCTTTCATGCCTGCTAAGGAGTTGAAATTGTGTCCTGTAGATTAGGGTGGGTGGGAAAGTAGTTCAAAACAGGGAAGAAATGTGGTCAAATTTGAGTTTTGTGTGTAGATCTCTCTCATAGAAATATGGAAAATGGGTTGTAGATGGGCCAGACTGGAAGCTGGGAGAGTACTTAGGAGGCTATCTCAGTGGGCTGGGAGAAGAATGGCAAAGGCCTGAATGAGGGCAGTGGCAGAGGGATGGAGAGGAAGGACAAGGTTTATGAAACATCTGAGAGGGAGAATTGGTAAGAAGTAGTGACTGTTTGGGTGTTGGGGTGGCAGAGTAAGTAAGAGAGAATCCTAGAATGACTCCCAGGTCTCTGGTTTCTCTGAGCGTGAGTGGTAGTGACACCCAGTGGAAGAGGGGTGCCAGGGGAAGTACGGATCTTGGTGGTTGAAGGTGAGGGTGCTTGACTGAAGGGGTAGATTTAGGAGTCTTCACTATGGTCTTAAAACAATAGCCAAGTAGATGAGATAATGTAGAGAGAAGATGTGCAGGGAAAAGGGAGGCTGGAGAAGGATGGAATCCCTGGAGGAAGGAGACAAAGAGGGTGTAGGAAGAAGATTGGGGTGGATAACCAAAGAGGCAAGAGGAAAAAGAGTTTGAAGGGGGAAGAATTGGCCAACGGGGCCAGTAAGGCTAAGTCAGACAAGAATTGAAATGGTATTCATTGAACTTGGCAATTAAGGAGTGATTAGTCACTTTAGTGAGAGCAGTTTCAGGGGAGAGATTTTGGGAGTGGTAGTGGAAGGGATAGTATAGAAGTCAGAGGAGAGGTGTTGAGGGATAAGTGGGGATGAGCAAGTATAGATAGTGAGGCAGTAGAGTTTGTGGGAAAAGTTAAGAACCTGGGTGTCAGATCAACTTGGGTTTGAATTCTGCTCTGCCACTTACTAACTGTGTGACTTAGGCAAGATACTTCATTCCATGAGCCTGTATCCTCATCTGTAAAAGTGGGGCTATAATAGTAGATACCTCATAGAGTTGTTATGAGAACTAAATTTAACGAAATAATGTGTAAGAATTATTTAGTTCAGTGCCTGGCACATAGTAAGTGATCAATAAGTGTTTGCTATTACTATTACTACATATAGACTATTCTTTCAAGAAGCTTAAGTGAGAAGGGAAGTAGAGAAGGTCTAATAGAGATCAGAAGATTGATGAGCATGAACTTGGAATAAAGAGCATTGACTATTAAAGGATATTGCTACCATCCAACTTCCACGCTTGGATTCAGATAATTAACACTGGCCACTTGAACCGACAATCCCTGAAATCTCAGTGGCTTAACACAACAAAGGTTTATTGCTTACTCACAGTCCAATGCAGACTGGGGAAGCTTGTCTGCATGATTTCTCCAGTGGGTGTGTTAGGGATCTGGGCTTCTTCTGCCTTGTAGCTTTGCCACGTGAAACGCCTGGCCTCCAAAGTTATGGAGACAGGAGAAAGGAGAGAAGAAGGAGGCACACTGGCTGTTAATCGCCTCGTACCAGAAGTGACACATTTCACTGCCACTCAAATTTCATTAGCCAACACTAGTCACTTGGCCTCATACCCCAACTGAATCACAAGGGAGGCTGGGAAATGAGGAGGAGAATGAGGATATTTGGTGAGTACTAGTGGTCTCTGGCATAATCTTCTGGCCACCAGGCTGAGAATTCTTTCTCCCTTGAGCAGTGCTGGAATTACGCTAGTATACATTCTTGAGAGCCCATACAATATAACCCTGGGCATATTGCCAGAAATTAGATCATGCTGCATATTACACTTACTACTTTAAGGTTTTCTTTATGTTTTTGGGAGGCATTGTAAGTCTGCTTGCATTTTGGAAATTTAAATGGTGAAGTGAAGATACCTCTGTTCAGTGTTTCTTCAAGTATATTCCTTGAAACCCTGGCTGCCATAAGACATTTGGCTAAAGAGAGGGCGATTTTTTAAAAATCAACCTTTGGAGTAGCAGAAAGCACTAAGCATATTAGTGGATCTAATAACTCCTGCAATAAGGTACCTAACTGCCCTTATCACCCAGCATAGGCTCCCTCTTCTGCCCTACATGATTCCTATTAATTTCCTGAGAACTAATGTTCTGGACTGTCACAGAGGCGGTCTGTCCTCACACAGGGCACCATCTGCCGCAGCGGCGGCGAATGTCAGGGCGGTGGAGACAATAAACAATTCCACAACTCTTACACAGAAGTGGGGCCAGGAGGGTCACTCTGAGGAGTCGACCCCCGGCTTCAGTCTCAGGAGTTTATTTATAGTCAATACAGCAAACAGTGAAGCAAATAACAGAACAATGGGCTTTGGGTGAGTAACAATGTTTTGGGCAAAGGGAGAAGGAATTCAGGTAAACAAGCCAATCAGTAACAGGACAATAGGTTTGGGAAAACAAGTTGTGCCTAATCTCATTCTTATCGCTGACAAGTCTCCAACATGTCGTATACAGCATAGAGGCCTATGGGGGCTGCAGTTGTCAATAGTGCAGCCATGTTTAAATGACATATATCCCACACTGGACATACCTGTTTGGGCAAAAGAGACCCAGTTTAATCAGCAACAAATTTGCAAATCCCTGCTCAGAGTGTTTCTTCTGCGGGTGGCCAATCCCATCCATGTTCCTGCTCTCTGCTTTCAAAGGGCTATGCTTCTGGCCTTTCTACCAATCCAAGGGTTGCTTTAACCCGAGAACTAATGGCAGAGGTGGCCAGCAGGGCCTGAGGTGACACAGTAAGCTGCTATCAGAGACAGGTGCTACAAGAAACCCTCCTCCCAAGCCTCAGCCACAACTTTTGATCTTCCCACGTCTCCCACACACCTGATGCCTCTGAAACCTGGTGTGTCACTTCTGTCGCCTCATAATCTGTAAGAAAGGAGGTCCTGGGGGATGAGGGGTTCCTGTTCATCCAGCCAGTCAGCCCCTCACAGGAAGACAAGAAAAGGTCAGCTCACTTTTTCCTTTAACCCAGGCAGAAGTGCCCTGATCCCAGAGGGATGGATGTCTCGGCTTCTTAGAAAGTTCACAGAAAAAGGTGATTCTGAAATTCCCTTTGTAAGCCAATCCTACATAAGTTTCTCCCCTTTCCATTTAAACCCTTTTCTTCTTTTTCTATTCTCAATAACCAGAATTAATAAACTTTCTTGTGCTTTTGCAAAAACACTGGCTAGAATTATGGGGTGGAGGGAGAAATCCAATGAAATAATGAAAAACATAACCTTAAGCTTCTTGAAGGGGCTGCTGGTCATCCAGCCACACTGACACTACCCTTCCCTCTCCAGACGGACTGGACTATAGCCCCTCCTCTCAGACAGCACTTACCTGTGACACCCCAGACTCCTCTATCTGCCCATCTGTAGCCGGCGCCATCTCCACCACTCACCAATACCCCCACAAATTTGTCCCCATGGGATAAACACCTTGACTGTTACTATGCACTGTGATTGGCTCAGTGCAGGCTTTGTTTTCCAATTGTCTCCAGGCCCCACGGGGAGCCCAGGCTCCAGGGTATGACTGAGGGCACAGCCTCGTCCTAAGTACTAATCTGTGTCACATTCATCCTGAATATTCCTCATGCCAGGGCCCAGGCTGAGCCCTGAGGGAGTAGGGGAGGGCAGGGTTAATCCAGGGGGACTTGTCAACCTGATGGAATAAATGGAACACACACCCAGGAAAGACAGACTGAGAAATAAGTGTGATCAAATATAACCTAGCCTAGATGCCAGAGGGGCAGTCCAGGAAAGGCTGTTTCTAAGAGAAGACCTGAGGGCAGCTTAAGCTGGAGAGCAGGAAATCAGGTTAGACCAAAGAAAGATACTCCTGGGCACAGATGGAATGAAGTTCTGGAATCTAGTTCATGGTTTCAGGTCTGAGGAGACTTCCCCAGGATTTCTTATCCTATTCTTAGTAGTCAGTCACATTCCACTCCTGAATCAGTGATGCCAGGCAGCAAGTGTCCTGATCAGAGGTTCCTTGGATTGGATGAACTAGCCTCTTTACTATTAAAAGAAGAAAACAAAAACCTCCAAGAAAGACCATCTTTTAAACCATGTCTAAAGCCTTCCTGAACCGTCTACCCAGGCCTTCTTCTCTCCTTCCCAGCTAGTATCTCCCCACTCTTATGCTAATGCTTTTCTGGAGAAACCTTTGCACTCTGGCCCACGTCTCTCGCCAGCACTTGTGACCAGAGCTCTCACGGACAAGTCTCACCTGCGTTCACTGTGACCTGCCCCCTTCAACACATGAGAAGTCCCTGCAGAAGTCTCCTCCCTGAACTTTGCTCTCAGCACTCTGGACAGCGCTGTCCTGTCCAGAAGCCTAGGGAAGCAGGAGGGGACAGGCTAAGGATGATTCTCTGGAATGTTCCTGACCCTGTTCATGTCCTTCTGGTGCAGAATCAGCCCGGACATTCGCTCCCTCTCCACCCTAAAGACACCCACCCTGCGCGGGCAAGACCCACTGGAAGCTCCTGCCAGAGATTTTAGCAGTGATAACCCCAGTAATTGGAGAGCAATGGCAATAAGGTAGCCAAATTATTATCATGCAGGACCGAAGCAGCGCAAATGCAGGGTTCTGGGCCATTTTATAGGGGATTCGTGGGGCGTTCAGGGTGGAAGAGACAACTGTCTCTGAAATGGGGGTGGTAATTTCCTAAATGAAGAATCAAGAGGCCCCAAGTGACCTAAAAGATATGCCCGAACTACAAATTAGGCTGACTCCAGCCCGTCCAACCCCGCACTCCGGCTATTTAAGAGACAAGCCGGGGGACGAGTATCCAGCCACTCTTCTGCGCAACCCGCTCGTCGCCCCCTGCACTGCCCAGTCGCGCCCTCCGCGCAGCCCTGAGACGCCAGTTTAACTACTACCCCGGTGGGGAGCGCCTGGTCTTCAGCAGCTGCTCGGCTGTCATCTCCGGCCGGGTCAGTAGCAGCTCCGCCTCGTTCAGGGCGGGCGTCAAGGGCTCGGCTGCCTTTGGCAGCAAGAGCCTCTTCACCACTGGGGGCAGCCGGCGCATCACCATCAGCGGCCGGGGCGGTGGCTACGCGCTGGGCCAGGGAGCGGATGGCTGCTGCGGCCGCGTGGGCGGCTTCGTGGGCACCGTCTTTGGCAGCGCGGGGCTGTGGCCTGCGTGTCCGTCCGTGTTCCCTCCTGGGGGCATCCCTCAGGTCACAGTCAACAAGAGCCTCCTGTTCCCCCTTAACGTAGAGCTGGACCCCGAGATCCAGAAAGTGCACGCCTAGGAGTGGGAGCAGATCAAGGCGCTGAACAACAAATTTGCCTCTTTTCTCGACAAAGTGAGTCCTGGAGCATCTGCCTGTCCCCACATTGGTGCCCCAGTGGTACCGAAGGGTGCTCACCTCTGCCACTGATGAGTAGTGTGAGAACTTGGGGGAATTATTTAACCGTTCTAAGCCTTCCTTTCCTCATCTGTAAAATGGGCACAGTAATGTTTCTTACCACAGAGGGTTGTAATGAGGATTAAGTGGGATGTTTACAAAGGGCTTAAAACAGTGTCTGGCACACACTCCCAATAAACAAGAGTGTGATTCATTCCTTGTCCAGACACTGGGTGGGGGAGGAGGTGCTCTAGGGGCAGGAGGCCAGTGGAATGGGCCCTCTGAGGGCCCCTGATATCAGACAAGAGATGGAATACACATCCAGGACAGGGGCACTAGAGGGACACAGGTCAGGGAGCATCACAAGGAGAGGATACTTTGCAAATGGGGAAAGGCTTGGAAGGAAGGAAGCAGGGCAAGGATGTAAGCCAGGAAGGTTTCTGGAGGAGATGAGAGAAAGGGCCAGAAAAAGAAGAATGGGACTGAGAGGAGAAGATTCGGAAAGATGGCATGTCAAGCAACATGTATGTGTTGTGAGGATGTTCAGAAATTGGGGTAACAGGGAAAATGTCTCTGGAGATTTGGAGACAATGACCCCAATGAATGTCCAGGCTGATTCTACCCTTGTCTCGACCTGGGTAGAAGGTCTGGACCATGAGTGACAGGGGACGTAATAGCAACAACTTTCGTTTATGGAGACATTACTCAGTGCCTGATGCTGTCCCAAGAGCTTCTCATTCCTCAATGCACAACCCTTGATTCTAGTATTATTCTGCCTTGCAGATGAGAAAACTAAGACATAGGGAGGCTAAGAAATGTGCCCACATTAATAGAGCAGTCAACAATGGAGTGGCCTGTGTTCCTCACCACGAGGTTAGGGAGGAGGAAGTAATGTGGTTGGAGGGGAAAGGGCATGGGTGGAAGGAACATCACCACAATCCCAGACGAAGAGATCATTTTCTTCCTCTTACTAAGTCAGCCTGTCCCTAGCATGTTTCCTTCTGTCCCCCAAGCTAAAGAAATAGGTGAGAAGAGGACAGTTGTGAGTGGAGGAGGGCCTGGTGTTAATGAGTCCAAAAATGTGAAACCTTTAGTCAAGTATGAAGAAATTATGTAAAGATATGGAAACCTACTTTGAAAAATAAACAAACCGAGAACAATCTAGACCACACATGAGAAAGAACATCCAAACCACCAGAGCAAATTCCTAAGGCTATTCCCTACTCACTATTTCTCCCCTGCTTCCCATTTATTTTTACTTAGAAAATGCCAGCATTTATAGCAAAAGAATCTACCACAGTCATCCTCTTTCTTTTAGAGTCAATCTTATTTCTTGCCTTGGGGATCTAGATGGGCATGTCCACCTGTCCAAATGTACCCTCTGATAAGTCTTGGCTCCTTCTTGCCCTGCCTCTCCCTCTCACCTCCAGGATGACTGCCTCTAATTTATGGTCCTCTCCCTACTCTTGTGAGGCAGACAGGATGGGAATTCTGGGCCATGACCACTTTTGGGTTCCAGGTGCGGTTCCTGGAACGACAGAACCACGTGTTGGAGACCAACTGGAACCTGCTGCAGCAGCTGGAACTGAACAACTGCAGGGAGAACCTAGAGCCCATTTATGAGGGCTACATCAACAACTTGCAGAAGCAGCTGGAGACACAGTCAGGAGACAGGGTGAGGCTGGACTTGGAGCTGAGAAACATGCAGGATTTGGCGGAAGACTACAAGAAGAGGTGAGTGGAGAGCAGAGCATCTTCCACTGGAGGGTCTCGATTACAGATGAGGTTTCAATTAGGTGCCAACATTTTTGCCTTGTTAGAGCTTTTACTGACAGTATTGCTATTTCCTTTCCCTAAGGGGAGGGAGGGAGATCCAGACAGAATAGGACTTAAGAGGAGGATGTACCCAAAGTTGTGCTCTGAATTGCTTAAGAAGTGATGTGCTCAATTTCAAGCATTGGAGAGGGAAATGGAAAGAGACAAGCTCAAAACCAGATAGACAACCCAAATGGCTTTGTAGCTCCTCCTGAGTGAGGTTTGCCATGACGGTTCTCAGACACGAAACACCCCACCAATCCCAGAACAAATCTTAAGGCTAAGCAAAAATGAGTTTTTAAAAATTATTTCATGTTGAGGCAGTATCTGTGCTGTGGAATCTAGCTGTTAAACAGAATGTTTGAGAATGTATTTGGAACCAGAGATGATTTCTCCTCTGACTTGAGCCAAGGATGAGAGAGTGATCAATTTAGGCTCTGTGGGACTTGATATTTTGGAAGCTTGCTTCCAGGTGTCAGAATTTCTAGGGATAAGTGACTTCTTCTACAATTCAAAGAGGTGGACATGGTCAGAGTTGGGCTCTTTCGTGTCCCATGCTCAATCTGAAGTTCCCTCAAAGCAGAGCCCTGTCCTGAGCCCTGCACTGAGATCCTTAGAGAGGACGTGACATGGTCCCTGCCCTCAGAAAACACCCGGATTATGGTGACACTTTCTGATAGCCACCAATAAACGGACATGAGTCCAGTGTGAACTGAGATTGAGTGGAATTAGGAAGGAAATTGGGGCCCAGGTGGAGATTTGCACAGGATCTGGAAAGAGGGGAAAGCTGCCAGGCACAGCTCAAATGTCCAGGTCAAGGTATCCAAGGGCCATCCTGCCTCTGGGACTTTCAGAGAGGAAAGGCCACATTTTCCAGGATTGCTGCTCACTAGCTGGGTGACCTTGGGTGAATCTCTTGATCTTTATGATCATCAGTTTTCAGTTTTAATATTTATAAAAATGAGATACTAATACCTGCCTTGCCACCTAAAAGAGCTGTTGGAAGGATAAAGTCAGGTAATGTCCAATAGTGATGTATTAACAGCTCTTAAAATAACTGAACTGCTAGACAAATGTAAAACATTATTTTTCTGGGATCAGAAGTCTTGGATTTCAACCTAGCTTCACAAATAACTAACTGTATGACTTAGGGCAAGTAAACGAATGTATTCACCTTGTTTATAAACTTGGGATAATAATAGATCTTACCTCATAGGATGGTTGTGGAGATTAAGTGAAATAATGTATATGAAGAGTTTGACACATAGTAAGGGGTCAATAAATACTATTATTATTGATTTTTGTTAATTTTATCGTTAATCTCTCCCACCTGTGAGTCCTCATACCACATTTTTTATCTTCCTTATGATATGTTATAAGAGATCCTAATCATAAGTCACCCTTGTCTTAGATTTTTTAGTGCATTTACCTCCTTGTTAAACTGTAAGATCCTAGAGGGCATGCAGTGTGTCTTAAGCATCATTGCATACTCTGTGGCAGAGGTCTTCAAGTTTTCTTCTTCTTCATGGACCCTCTAAAATAATTGCTTTTAAAACTCATCACAATTTAAAAAATACGCTCATCACGATTTCTGAAAATGGACAGTTAAAAATATTTATCATAAATTTAGGTAGTTACAAAAGATGTAATTTCAAACATATTATGGATATTGCCTTTTAAAATCCTAATGGCTACATTGTGCACTTAAATGTATCCATTTGAATCTAAGTACCATTGCAGTTTAATATCCACCATTGCTCATCTAAAAAATTAATGAACTACTTCTGCTTGAAAAATTGTAAAATTTACCTTGTTCCTCTCAACATCTGTTGGAATTCCAATTTTCATGTCACTTTCCCCACATAATTTTATCCTAATGCAATATATTTTTATGCCTTAAGTCTTTTATTGATCACCATAGCTGCCACAAAATATGCATACAAATTGAAATTTTTAGAAAGTTTATTCATGTGGTCATGAGTTTTTAAATGCTAAAAATTAAGTTATTAAAAGAACAAAATTTGTTATTAATTTTGTTAAAAATTATTAAACATAAAAGTAAAAAATAATTTTATAAGTACATTTCTTACTGAGGTGAATGGAGCAGATTTTTTCCTTAGTACATCCACGTATGAATACTGCTTGTTGCTAGAATGAGCTAGCATGCAGCATTAATTCTAGTCCTTTTTTTTTTTTTTTTTTCTCACTCTTACATAAGTGCTGGAAAACTTTGATCATATAAATAGATTTTAATGGAAGAAGTTTTGCAAGAGCAGTGTTACTCAGTTCTTTGGATGCTTTTCCAGTTTTACTGCTTTTTCTTTTTTCCAGAGCACCTATCAATTTCTAACACACTATGGAATTTACTTATTGTTTTACCATATGTTTATAGTTTATTTTTTCCTCTCTTTTTTCCACGAGGACAGGGATATTTGTTTGTTTTGCTCACTGATTTATCCCAAGTGCTACAAAGTGCCCCACACCAACAAATATTTCTTAGATGAAAGATTACATGTCACAGAATGGCTCATGAAAGATCGTTTTGAGCGCTCAGATCATTCTTTCTTTTTGTTGAAAGCAGACATTGAAAACCACCCGACTAGCAAAAAGGGTTTGTTTCCTAGTCAATAAATTTATTTTTTCTCCCAATTTCTAGGAATTTTTTCAAAATATCTTTACCAAAACGAATCAAATGATCATTGCTTATCTTACTTAATCTGCCCCTTAGAAGCATCATGCTTAATCTAATAGACCAGAAAGTTTTGGGAAAATAAAAACATTGTTAGTATTCAATACATTTTTGCCAGTTCTTTATCTTTTGAAAATAATATGTTTTTATCCTATGCTTTTAGACATGTACACACACACACACACACAGTAACTTTGGAGCTGCAGATTTAGCTCATTCAATTTATGGAAAATATCTGTCGTCTAACTTAAGTAGAAAATCCAGTCTTCACTGTCAAACTAGAGAAATAAGACTTACTTTCTGTTGGAAAAAAGTCTGACTTCATTTCTAAATTCAAATAAAAATGTAAATAGACATTTTGGGAACTATTCCAAAAACCACCCAGCAATGAGCTCAGGAATACATCTTGTACAATAAATTATTAAAAATACTCAAGACTAAAATGATATAGCTTTACTATAATTAATACATCTATGTTACAAAACAAATAAATATACTTTTAATTATGCATTGTAATATATTTTAAAAATTACTTATCTATAAGTTATTTATGAAGTCAATAGTGTGCTAAAATACTTTTTTTTTTTTTCCTAAATGTGCGTACATGTGTATTGAGCTCTGGCATTTGCTTTCAAGAATAATGAAATAAGTAAATAATAAAAAATTATTTATAACAAATTAGATTAATGCCGTTAATTTTGACAGGAAGCATGATCAAACTTTTCCTATGTATTTTATGAAATAAAGACATAAACTGCTAAATGCTATTTGGTCTGGCAGCTAGCATATACCTTTATTTTTATTAATAGGAGATGGGCAATATTAAACATTTACTAAGACAGCAGGGGAGCCCTGATGGCAGGGTGGTTAAGCTCTTGGCTGCTAACCAAAAGATCGACAGTTCGAATCCACCAGCCTCTCCTTGGAAACCCTATGGTGCAGTTCTACTCTGTCCTGTAGGGTTTCTTTGAGTTGGAAATTGACTTGATGGCAATGCGTTTGGTTTTTGGTTTTAAGACAAGGGATAAGAATGAACTGTAATAGAAACAACTATTTTATGACAAAATTTGGTTTAAAAAAAGGTTTCAACTACCTTTTGAGTAACATACGTGGAATCTGAGAGAAACTGTATAGACTGTCTTCTGTAGGTTTTACCCATTGTAACGAGCAAAATTTGGCAGTCTCAGAAAACATTTCAGTCACATTTAAAGAACCCAGTTCACTAACCTGTACTGCTTCAGCCATTCAACAGTGCTACTCTTTGCAGCGAATGAGGTGACATGGGGATGAGGGAAAAGCTAAAAAGAATTGTTTATGTGTAAATATATGGAAAAAAAAGTCATTTTCTAGCATTAAGTATTTCTTACCAATGCTCTATTTGGTTTGCTCTCACAAGTGTTCTGTAATACATTTTCTCTGATAGTAGCAGGGGATGGAAGAAATGAGTGCTTTAAATGAAATAATCAGTAATCTTACCTCCCTAGTCTACAATGTATCTGAATTAAGAACATCTCAGCCCCATCCAAACACCCTCTTTCTAAGGCCTTGCTTCACCTGGAACAGAAATATACATAAGAAATAGCAGAGAAAAGTCTAGGTGACCTTGGATTTGGAGCTGATTGTTTAGATATAACACCAAAAGCACAATCCATAAAAGAAAGAAAAAGTCGAGAAATTGGACTTCATTAAAATGAAAAACTTCTGCTCTGTGAGAGAAATAGGTACAACGTACAGCCCAAAGGATGGGCTGTGACACCTTGATCAACCAAGAAAGGAATGGTGTTTGGTTGATGCCTAGGAAGTTTTGCACCCTGGGCCAATGCACCTGACTAGGGTGCCAGATGGTGGAGAGCAGCAGCTTTATGTTGCAGCATGGGGTGGGGGTAATTGTGAAAAGGTGAAGGTCACTGAGACATAGAGTCTGCTTGATGTCTTAACTACAGTTGCGTTCTCAGGCAGGTCCATTTTAGGGAAGACTGCGGATGAACTGAGGAGCTAGAAATGAATTCCTTTACATTTTCCCTTGCTCTATGTGCTGTAGGAATACATGGACCCCCAGTTTGAAGACTGCCACCCTGCAGCTCTTGGCACAGAAGTGAACACTGATAGTGAGCATTCGAAGAATTGAATTATCCCAATAGTAATGCTTCTCCTCTCTCTTTCCCCATGTAGGTACAAGGTGGAGATTAATAGTCGCACAGCTGCTGAGAATGAGTTTGTGGTGCTCAAGAAGGTAAGAAGGGAGCAGGAAGGGCCAAAAAAGCCCAGAGGGCTTCCTGAGAAGACCGCACGGCGATGTTTGTAGGATGACAAGGGGGATGCTGGAAGTCACTTAGTTCCTTGGGCAAGGGTGACTGGGGTTTACACTTCCCAGCTCCTCCCTTCAGGTCCTTGCCTGGGATGCATGCTGCTCCCAGCATCTACCAGCTTAAAATCCAGGCAGTCTGCCACGTTGCTGGTGTGGCCATGTGCACCAGACACTTTAGTTGGTTTGCTGAATGGTTCTCTTGGGACTTCGCCTTCCCCTGTGAAACATGGGATGGAGGGATTTAGAGGGCTGTTCACACATGGCTCTTACTAGGGAACCCCAGGCTCCTCATGGCAGGGGGGAGGGGAAAGGAGGGCAGGTGGTCTCTCTCAGGGTGACCTAATTGTCGTGTGTCCCCCAGGATGTGGATGCTGCCTACAAAAACAAGATCGAGCTCCAGGCCAAAGTGAACTCCTTGACAGACGGGATCAAATTCTTCAAGTGCCTCTATGAAGGGGTAAGGACTTTGCTGATTTCTCTTTTGTGGTCTGCTTCTCTTACAAGTGGCTCTGGCCCTTGCCTGCAGCCTGGATGATTGTGTGGGCCCAGGCTTGGGAGGGAGAAGCCATTCAACTCAGTGAAGTTAACATTCACCAAGGCCCTACTATGTGCTGAGCATTTAGCTAGGCTTTTGAGGAGACCATAATAGAGAAGAAATTATTGCTGTCCCCAAGGAGGTGACAGTCTGGTAGGGAAAACAACGCAGTGATGAGTTTTGGGAGAACCAGGAAACGCATGGTGAATTCTGCCTGAGCCATCAGGTAAGGTTCCTGGAGAAAGATCAGGAAGATTTCAGTGGGTGTGGGGAAGGGCATGGCATTCCTGGCTGAAGGAGCAGCACAGATGTGGACTTAGAAGTCCCTGGGAGGTGCCAGGGCATCAGGGGCATTGGCGGATGCAGAGGCCTGGAGAGGGGAAGGTCACTGGGACTCCCTAGAGGGCTCAGAGTGCCACAGGGAGTTCAGACTTAATTCTGTGGGTGAAGGGGAGTCATTGTGGGTTTTTGAGGAAGAGAATGTGGAATGGGAATAGGAGAAATCCTGAGTGCATGATGGAGAGGCAAGACCCACCATTTGGAGCTGAAAATCCAAGGCCTCATTCTTATAGGCATGGCAGGCTGCTGAAGGTGGGGTTCAAACACTGAAGAAGGATAAAAAGTGGTGGTGAGGAATTAGTCCCAGGGAGGGTCAGGAGAGGCAGTCCGTCACGGAGACTCTCTAACTGGACACCGTCTTCCCACTGTCCCCCAGGAGGTTGCTCAGATTCAGTCCCACATCAGCGACACGTCCATCATCCTGTCCATAGATAACAACAGTGACCTGGATCTGGACAGCATCATCAGTGAGGTCCGTGCCCAGTATGAAGATATCGCCCTGAAGAGCAAGGCCAAGGCCGAGGCCCTGTACCAGAGCAAGGTGAGAGCTGGGTGCTAGGTGTGCTGAGACACCATGACCGCAGCTGCTGCCCTCTCATCGTGTATGCATGTGCCTGTGTGTGCCTGTGTGTGCATGCATGCATGTTTATCTGGGCTCAGCAGAGAACTCTTTTGTCTTGGTGCTGAGCCTTGTTGCCTTCCCAAGCCCAGAGAGCTCAGTCACAGTCTCGACATTGTGCTGGGGACATACGTGGGGCTTAGCCCTTCTCCTGACATGGTCCTTGGCTAATAGCCGAGTTCACACCAGCCACAGCCCTGGTGAGACTCTGACACAGTGTTCATGGTAAGCCATATTTTTCTTCTTATTTCCAACTTTGGCAAAATGAGGACAGGAAATTCAAACTCCACAGAGGTTCTCATGTATGAAATCCCAAGAATCCTATTGACTGGAGCAGGCCTTCCTGCCCAGAAGGGTATGAGGGTGTCACTTTCCTCTTCCTTCTTCCCATCACTTCCTCTCTTTTTCCCTCGCTCCTTCCCTCCTCACTTGGGTCTACACTGTTTAGATATTGAAAATGGCATGTGATCACCCTCCCCCACCCTTAAGCACAGTGAATTCTCAACTGTCCTTCTCTTGTCACCCAACCCCAGATCCAAGAGCTCCAGGTGACAGCAGGCCAGCATGGTGATGACCTGAACCTCACCAAGGTGGAGATCTCAGAGCTCAACCAGCTGATCCAGGGGATCCGCTAAGAGATCGGGAATGTGAAGAAGCAGGTGGGTCTCTGAATTGGGTTCGCTAACGAGAATATGGAAGAAGGGTAAGACACAACGCCTCCTTAGAGAGTGTACAATCCATCCAGAGAGCACAGTCAGCACACATATGGAGTGAGAAGGCATCCCACATCGTGTGTGGCCACTCTGTAAATGCTGGTGGAGTTCAGAGGAGCTGGAGGTGGATGAGGTCCAGAGGGAAGCTTCCTGCAGGAGGCGATTCCCTTGGGCTGGGAGGCAGAAAGGAGAGGAGAAGGTGTCCAGGGAAGGAGCCGGGTAAGGCCTGGATGAGAGGTGGGGATGTGCATGGCATGTGTAGGGAGGAGAACCACCTACCTGGTGCAGTATGTCCACAGTGGGGATGGGAGTGACAAGTAACAGAGGGTCCACTGGGCAGGAATGAGAGGTTATGAGCAGCCTTCAAAGCTAGGCAATGGAGGTAAAACTTCATGTAGAAGTGAAAGGGAGCCATTTGCATGTTTCACATGATGAATGGTGGCTAGCAGTGGATTTTAGAACAGAGTGAAGAAGGAAGCATCTCCTACCCTAGCCTCAGGGCTCTGCTGCGTGCCTGGCCTTCCCTGTGGTTGTGAAAGTGGCTTGGCGTACACTGAGGTCTCCCTTTCTGGGCATTATTGGGACCACACCTGTGGTTCCTGATAAATGTGGAAGATGTCTCTTACCTTCTGATGAATATGGTTTCTTAGCATGGTGGAAGCAGGCAAACCCATGAGTTTCCCAAAGTTTGTGGAAGTCAGTGCGAGGATTTGAGGCTCAGCTTCCTAGGCAAGTCAAGTTGCCCCATCTCCTTGCCCTCCCTTCCTCTGCCCCCCTACTCCTAGCCCTGCACACACACAAGAGGGGAAAAGGAGGAGGAGAGGAGGGTCTCCGCTGTGCACTGAGCTCATGGAAGTGGAAGAAAGAAGACCAGCATTAACTAAGAGCGTATAGTGGTTTTTGTTTGTTTGTTTGTTTTAAATCAAGATGTGCATAAATACAGGAAAAGTGCAAAGGTGTCTGAAGCTACTCTCAGCATTTGATTACAGAGTTTAACTGATAAAACACTACAAGTTCATGGTTGGGTGAGCTTATTACCAGAAAGAGACTTTGAAGTGATCAGAATGACACTGTGTTGTGGAGGTCAGGGAAGACGTCCTCCGAGGGGAACAAGTAGGGGTCACTCCTGAGGCTTGGTTTCCATCACAGGTCCTCTTGCAGACTCTCAGCCAAAGTCCTTTTCTGCCCTTCTGGCCATTTCCAGCAAAGAAGAAACCCATAGTGTCAACTGCAGTCTTTTGACATTTGTCGACCCCAGAATCCATTTGAATATTTGTCTCAGAGGAGGCCAGAATTTCACCTCCTCTCAACTTAGACCACATTCATAAGACCCAGGCTTTGGAGTCACAGGTTACCCTGATCCTGGTTAGTGAACAAGAGAAGAGGACAGTTTGACTGAATTCAGATCACAGAGTTTATTTCCACCCCGCTGAATGAGTACATCACCACAGATCCAAGAATGGGACATGGTTTTCTGTGGTTGCGCAACTGGGCCTTTTGTGATTCCTCTGAGGCTGCGGGACCCTCATCTAAAATGCAGTGGTGCATGTGCTGTTGGAGGCCTGCTGGCCAAGGAGGGTGGTGCCAGCTGGACAACAGTCTAGAATCCCATCTGGCTTCAGTTCCAGCTGCTCTGCTTGGGATAAGGCAGACTTGACTACACAGGAAGGAGATATCCCAGAAAGAGAATCCGAGTGCTTAACCAAAATTAACCCATTGCCATCAAGTCGATTCTGACTCTTGGTGACCCCATGTGTTAGAGTAGAACTGCTCCATAGGATTTTCTTGGCTGTAGTCTTTATAGAAGCAGATTGCTACGCCTTTCTCCTGCTGTGCCAGTGGGGGGCCTTGAACTGCCAACCTTTAAGTTAGCAGCCGAGTGTAAACCGTTTGTTCCACTAATCCCCCCAAAACCTTAGCTGAGGGACCAGAGCATACACCCAAGACTCAAAGGCTTAGGAAGCCCACCTGGGAGCTTTCACTTAAATGCAAGCCCAGAGCCCCCTACTGCAGTTTTCTCTAGCAAGTTACATGTTTCCACTTAATAGCAAGTGTTTGTAAAATTGTAAAACCCGTTGTGCAAAAGCATCTTTTAAGCCTGTTACCTGTTAGCATGACCCTCTGGGGAATTTTGAAGCCCAGACTCTAAGTGTGGTGGGTTTATTATCAATATAGTAATATTACATTAATAGAAACTTCATGAGCCCCAATTTTTTGTTCACAATTTACAGGATCTCCCAAGACAACCTTCACACTATGGGGCTGAATCAAGTCCAGTCACCCAGGGATTTTTATCAGGGTTGGCATTAGAATCTTACAGCCAATTTTACAGACCAGGAGGGAGAGGGCGTGGGCCACATGCCAGGTACCCCCTTCCCAGTGCCCCTTCCTCCCTTTCTCCCAAAGTGAGGGCTCTTCACCTTCAAATCCGAGGCCTGAGCTGGGGCAAAAGTGTGCCTGGAGTCAGGGAGAAAGACAGATTAACCTCTGGTGATGTCCAAAATTGGATAAACCAGGAGAGTCTCCAGGCATTTACTTCAGTCAGGACCAAGTGAGGGGGGGTTGTGCGGGCAGGATCTCAGAGCTGGGATCTGACTCAAATGGCTGAATCTGTTTGCCCCTCAGTGTGCCAAACTGGAGATGGCCATCACCGATGCCGAGCAGCGGGGGGACTGTGCCCTGAAGGATGCCTGGGTCAAGCTGGACAAGCTGGAGGCTGCCCTGCACCAGGCCAAGGAGGAGTTGGCCCGGATGCTACGTGAGTACCAGGAGCTCATGAGCGTGAAGCTGGCCCTGGACGTGGAGATCGCCACCTACCGCAAGCTGCTGGAGGGCGAGGAGTGCAGGTGAGAGACCAGATACCTTTTGTCTGGGGCAGTTATCATATGGAAGTTTGTTTCTGTTCAGCTCCACTGGGGAAAAACCATATACAGAGTGGGCTTGCCATGAAGCAGAAAGGCCAAAGTTAGTAAGAAGGACTAGGTTATAAAAATATCAAAGAGGTGGTGAGAGAGGAAGTATTAGCATCATCAATGTTTGAGATACAGAGCATCCCCTGATCCTTCATGAAGCATTCTTGGTGGTGAGTGGGGAAGGGGCAAGATGGCCTCCAAGAGTTATCCAAATTCAGAGTTTCTCTGACAAAGCCTGGGACCCAGAGAGATGCTGAGCTCATTCCTCTTAATTGTCCAAGACCAATGATATAGCTAGAGGAAAGCAGAGGCACAGTTATCCCACACAATAGGTAATCTTAAAGCCACTCTGCTGGAGGGCTGATACCTGTAGCAGCTTTATCATTTTAGTTCTCCAACTTCTGAGAGGTCCCACTGGGGTCTATGGGATGGAGTGGGGGCTGGCACTTCTGCGAGGAGAAGCTAATTCTCAGAGATGACTGCCTGGATAGATGCGGTGGCTGTTTATGGAGAATTTATCTATTTTTTCTTTCCCCTTCTCAGGATGTCTGGTGAATATTCAAATTCCGTGAGCATCTGTAAGTACCTGTAGGACTTGGTCCTGCCTGTGGTCACCTTACCAGACGTCTAAGTCTTTCATGACATGAAAGAGAAGGCAGAATAACATAGGGGGATCAGGGGAGACTTAGGGGCACAAACAGGGAGCTGCAGTAAGAGGGACTGAGAGGAGCCTGAAAGGCGAAAGGATGAAAAAAAGAGCTGAAACAACCGCCTGCAGACTCGAAAGCTAGAAAGAGTGCAGGTGAGGTGTTGTATTTCTAAGAGGCAGGGATACTCCCAGCAGCCCCTTCTCCAGCAGCAGCAGCAGCGTCATCAGAAGGCCCCAATTACGAGCCTTTCTTCTTTTGGTCCTACCCATGGGGACGTTCAGTGATAGAGCCCTGTCTGCTAAGAGCTTGGAGTCTGGCAATGACAGATTGACATAAGCTGATAAGAGAAAGGGCTAATTACATGAAAAATGAAGCCACATCAGGTCAGGGCTGATATAAACTAAAAATACACAACAGAGAAACCTGTCTCCACATGAAGCCACCACAGGGCAGAAAACTAAGGAAGTGGTTGGGGTGCCTGGGAAGGACTCTGAAGCAGGGTGCAGGGCTAACTGAGGCTGGGGTCTTCTCTCATCCGCTCCAGCTGTCATCAGCAGCACCAGTGCTGGGGCAGGTGGGGTGGGCTTCCGCTGGGCTTTGGAGCCTCGAGCAGTTACAGCTACAAACCTGCGGCCGCCGACGTCAAAACCAAAGGCAGCTGTGGCAGCGAACTCAAGGATCCCCTTGCCAAAGCCTCGGGCAGCAGCTGTGGAACAAAAAAGGCGTCCAGATGAAGGGCAGCAGAAAGCTTCAGAACCCATGCATCTCCCTCTCCTTCCCCGTGTTCTGTTTCCAGCCAGCAAGTGCCTCCCGTCACCACGGTCCCAATCCCATCCCCCCTCTGCTGTCCTCAGCAAGGCAATGCTCTGAGAGCAGCAGTCCAGTCTTGGCTCTCTGGGCGACCATTCCTCCTTAGTCCCCTTCACTGGGTCACTGCCCCAAAAGGCAGAGAGAACACACATACCCAGGGGCCGGCCTCTCCACCCCCCTGCCTTTCTTGGACCTTCACTTCAAGGGGCTTATTTTATCCTGTGATTTGGAGCATGTCCAGTTCTCTGCTTCTCCCTCAATAAACGACCAATGCTATTTGGTTCTTAGGCTGGAATAATCTGTTACTCAGGATGCTGACATCTGCATTGCTCCACCTGACTTTTCCTGATCTAACGCGTGCTGCCCTCAGGGTCCTGGCGTCTGGTTCTGGCTGTCTGGTTCTGGCGAGGTAGGTGTTGGGTGACAGCCGATCTGAGTGAATAGCTGAGTTTTATTACTGATGCTGCCGCCAGGCAGGCTCAGTACTTCCCATGCATGGTGTCACTTATCCCACACAATGGCCCTGTGAGATGGGCATCATTACCCCCATAATACAGAGGCTCACAGGAGACATCTGGACTGTCAGACGTCAAAGCTTTAGCGTGGCTTCTAGCTCAGGTTCTCAAAAGCTCCTGCAGTTTACTATGCTAACTGCCTGTTGTTGCTACAGTGGTCACTCTTTTTTATTTTATTTTTTTAACTTCTGCCAACCCACTCCCCAGTCCTACTCCCCGGCCACCATTCTGTTTTCCTTTTCTTCCAGTCAATTTCATTTCTACCCTAAAGTTTGAGGCTCGTGTGTATGTCAGTTTATGGCTGCATCTATACCTATTGTGTATATACAGTAGTCATTCACTGAACATATTTTTAGTGAGCACCAACTATGCCAGAAACTGGGGAGGCGAGAGGAAACAAAACAGGCTCAGAACCTGTCCTCACAGAGCTTACATCCTAGTGGGGAGAATGTAACAAAGAACTAACAAAGAAATATATAATACAATGTCAAGGAGTGATAATTGTTACTAAGTAAAATGAAATGGAGTAAGAGGCCAGAGAGATGCAAGGATGCTGTTATAGGGGTGTGTGTTTCTGCACGGGTGTTTGTTTTCTAGGGCTTAGTTAACACAGCCCATTTGAGCAAGGCACATGTTGCAGGATTGTTAAGGGCGTGGCCATCTTACAAGCGTAAACCTCATTTGGGAGTAGCATTCAGGGTGTCTGTGACCCCTTCTTCCACATCATTCCTATCCTTACACTCCAGCCTTTCTCCAAGTATGCCATGAATTTTCACACGCATGCACTGTGCTGATCTCAACTGTAGGTGCTCATTTCCCATTGATTGAAAGTCTGCTCATCTCTCATGGTGCAGCATTTCAGCCATGTTCATGCTTTTCCTGGTCCCTCCAGGTGGAATTCATGGAATAATCAAACATTAAATGACAGGCAACATTTTAGCCACTCAACCCATTACCATCCCTGTCCATTTTAGAGATGAGCAAACTGAAGCTCAGGTAGCTGTGATCTCCCCAAGTTCCAGCCCTGGCGAGTGGCAGGGTCAACACCCACAGCACTGTTCCCGACTCCATGTTACAGTTGGTGCTTTAGTCTCCTGGAGTCATGTTAGCTGCTCACATGTCCATCCCCTCATCCTACGCCTCCTGTCCCCTTGTCCCAGGGTCCTCAGGTCTCGCTCACAGCAGGCACTCAATTCAATTAGCTGCAAATGCAAATGATGATATGCAAATGGTGAAATACTCCGTGTTAATTTTATCTGCATTGACATGTATGCAATTTATATGACTTATTGTCTAAACGGGAACACTTATTCTGGACAAATGCTAAACTGGATCTAACACCACAAGCCAGGACTGTCTCAGGCAAACGGTCCCCTAGGTCTAGCATACTGACTGAGTCATCATATACCTGGCTTCAAATCCTACCTCTTCCAATTGTTAGCTGTGGCCTAGTGCAAAGGTGCCCTGGTGGCACAGTGGTTAAGCACACAGCTGCTAACTGAAAGGTTGATGGCAGTCTGCTTCTGCAAAGATTATAGCCTTGGAAACTCTATGGGGCAGTTCTACTCTGTCCTATAGGGTCACTATAAGTCCGAATTGACTAAACGGCAACGGGTTTGGTTTTTGGTTTGGCCTAGTGCAAGATCTTATAAAACAGGATCAACACAAACTGGCATTTACTGAGTACTTTCTACATGGTAGGTGCTGTTCTCAGCACTAGTTCTTCTAAGCACTTTATGTCTGGCAACTCAATTCTCCAACAACCTGATACATATGATTGTTATCATTAGGTGCTGTGATTATTATGTCCATTTTACTCATGAGGCTACTGAGGCTCAGAGATGCTAAATAACCCACCCAGTGTCACATGGTTAACGAATGGTAGAGTTAGGAGTTGAACCCCAGTTCGATTCCAGAGTTCTGCTCTCAGTTACAACACCTTATTGTCTCACAAAGTGCTCACCTTAAAGGAGAGCTGAGAATATTAAAAGAGAGAATGGAAGTAAAATACTTAGCATAGTGCTTGAACATAGTTTGCAACCATTAGACAATAGCTATTATTATGGAGTCCCTGGGTGGTGCAAACGGCTAACACACTTGGCTACTAACTGAAAGATTGGAGGTTCAAGTCTATCCAGAGGTGCCTTGGAAGAAAGTACTGGTGATCTATTTCTGAAAAATCAGCTATTGATAACCCTGTGGAGCACAGTTCTACTCTGACACACATGGGGTTGCCATGAGTTGGAGTTGACTCCACGACAATTGTTTTATTGTTATGATCATAGTGATTATTATTAAGGTGTGTTTGTGAGCTTTCCGTGTTCGCTGGCTGAGCACTGGCTCATGACTGATGGGCATGGATTAGCAGCACACTGTGCTCAGAGATCTGGCCAAGTGGGCTACATGAGGCGTGGAGGGCATAGGTTCTAGTCATTAACGTACTCTCCCATCTGGTCAGCAGCTGCTAATTTCCAAGCAGGAAAAGAATGCCTTGGTGCCTCTATTTTGGACACACACTGCCCTCTGCCAGCGGTCCTGGTATTGCATCTTCCATCCCTCTGGCCCTAGACGAAAGTCGGCCCTACAACCCAGACAGGGTTATGGGCAGATCTTGGACAGGCGGTGTGCCCACCACAGAGCTGCCAGCTGGCAGGGATGCAGTTTCTCTCTCTGGCATGCCCAGCCTGGCCCCAGCCTCCATTTAACCCCCGACGTGGTTCCTGTCATCCCTCCTTCTCCTCTCTTACTTCTCCTCTGCAGGAGGGAAGCGGGGAGGGCCGATGCCATCCACCACTGCCTGAACCTCTTCCCCTCTAGTTAGAGAACCTGAGGCATTCAGATAGCTCTTCCTCAACAAGCTCCTGAGAATCTTGGTGCTGATCCAGAGGTCCCATCACTCAGCAATACCTACCTCTCCTGAGCCCACCTGCCCCGGGGTGCATGGGGAGCCCTCTCAGAACTCTCTCTGATGCAGTGAATGATCCAGGCACATCACCTCATTAGCATGTCATTCCTACCCTTGTACTCCAGAAGCTACACAGGAAGGAAGGGATCAGAGCTGAACACAGACAATCTGGGAAGGCTTCTGGAGGAGAGGAAACGGACATGAAATGGTGGAAAGAGGGAGCTTCTTAAAGATGTTCAAGGTCCCATTTGGCAGCTGCTGTGGGATTTGAGTGGCACTTTGCCAGCCTCCAACCTCCCTCCCACTGCCTCCACCACTTCTGCCCTCTGCAGGTGGCCACTGCACGTAAGACAATCCCTTTGCCTGCTCAGCTTTCACATTCACTTTTGACCACCAGAGAGGCTGAGGGGGGGTCTCTCCTCTCCTACAAACCACCTTCCATCACTCGTCCCATCCCTTCTCCCCCAGTGAGTCATCTATGCCATGTCCCTGCTAAGATGCAGAACCCTTTTATGAGCATATCCCTTAAATCCTTCCTTCTTGCTTCCAACCTGTCCATTCCCAGGAGGGCCGAGCTATTATTCCTCTTAGACCCAGCTCTCAGGGATTCCAGATCCTTCTGGGTGGAACTCCAAATAGCACCAAATTCCAGATTAAAACTACTTCTGATTTATGACCTGAACCATAGCTTGGTGGACCTGGAGCTGAAGGGATCTTGAGGGTCATCCAGTACATAAGGACACACACTTTGCTGAATCCTTTATTTCCTTTTTTTTTTGTCACTTATTAACTGTGACTTGAACAACCCATTTTCCCTCCTCTATCTCCTCGTTTGTAAAGTGGCAAAAATCAGAACGTATCTCTCACACAGCTGGTGTGAGGATGAAATGAGTTAAAGCATGCAGGGTTTAGCACTGTGACCAGTGTGTAGCAAGCCCTCAATAAACGATCACTCCTTGTCTGTATCTGAGGCAAAACTTCCAGGCTAGCTTCCTGCTCTGCGCCAATCCCAGGCTAACAGCTCTTCTTCAATTGCATTGTCCTTGGCCCTCCCACATCGATTTCCAGAATGTTCTCCCCCATGCCGCTGGACCTCGTGGCCCTCTATTATGCCGTGCAGTCCCACTGGCTCACATTTCTGGGCCACTGGCTTCCCTAGTGTGCATCATTCTCCCTACTTGCTGATCTCAGGCTCCCAGCTCACTTCACAACCCGCCCCTCAACCCATAGCTGCGTGTCACACCTGGTAGCCCAACCATCGAGTCCCACTCACCTCAGTAGGGGACACATGAAACTGGGCAGATGGGGACTTGGGTCTCCAGACGGCAATGCCTCCTGCCTCTTTCTCTATATGGGGAAGGTGGATAGACGTTTTCAAAGGGGCCTGTCTGTGGTCTCAGTTTCCGATTGAGGAGCCCACACTCTAATCTAGACCCTCAGTGTCAAACAAGTATCAACCAAGCCACATCTGCCCAGCCTCTAAGTCAGTGGCAGGCTTGTATCT